TATAATTTCATTTATTTTATTGATTCAACCCCACACGACACACACACACACACACACACACACACACACACACACACACACACACACACACACACACACACACATATATATATATGTATATATATGTATATGTATATAGTTAATATGCTAAAATATATGGATTTATCTTTATAGGTAGACCGCCAGGACCTGAAATGAAGAATTGTGTGGATCGCGAGTCGTATTCCTTGGCAGCAGGACTGGCGTTAGGTTTGGTCATACTTGGCTTCGGTGGCGGAACGGATGTACCTGCGAGCATACCTGATACTCTGCATTATTACATGGTCGGCGGACACATAAGACCCTTTTCTGGAGCACAGAAAGATAAATACAAGTCTCCCAGGTACAATAAAATCTATATGTAATTTTAAAAAATTCATGCGATTTAAAACATTCTAAATTGAAAATATTGATCTTAGAGGGTTTAAAATTAAAACAATTTTATTTTTCCGCAAAAAATTCTGAAGTTTTTTCTGCTAAAATAGAACCAGCAAAGTAGGAAAATCTTCTTCTTTGAAATTTATAAGTCGTATTTTTTTTTTGCAGTTATCAAATACGCGAAGGTGACTCGATAAATATCGACGTAACGAGCCCGGGAGCAACAATAGCTCTAGGATTAATGTACTTCAATACCGGAAATCGTGCGGTTGCCGAATGGATGCAGCCACCCGATACGCAGTATTTATTAGAATTCGTGAGGCCAGATTTCCTGCTGTTGCGAGTGCTCGCCAAGTCACTGATTATGTGGGACGATATCAAGCCAACCAAATCATGGGTTTCTAGTCATGTGCCGAATATCGTTTATAAATACAGATTGCAAAAGCCTACGCCAGAAGTCACGCAGAACGTGGATTTGGAAACTATCAAGTAAGCGATTGCGAAAAGCATTTCTGTATCTCTGATATTATTATTTTTGGTGTGCAAATTCTTATTCTATTTATCGTTATTATAATTTACAGCCAGGCGTACTGCAACATTATAGCAGGTGCTTGCATGGCGTTGGGACTGAGGTATGCCGGCACTGCTAATAAGAACGCTTTCAAGACCTTGTATAACTACGCTCAGATGTTCACGGCATTGTCACACAAGACTATAGCCGAATTGGCTGGCAAATCCACCGTTGAAACATGCCTAAACGTTGTTCTGCTTTCGACCGCGGTGGTGATGGCGGGCACCGGCAATTTAGACGTAAGTCTCGATACTCAATAACTAATCGCGAAGCACTTATTGACGATCTGAATCTGTGCAGATTATGAGGATATGCAGGCACATACGCACTCGCGTAGGACCCGCCAGTGGCGTAGTCACGTACGGCTCTCATCTGGCAACCCACATGGCTCTCGGTCTCCTTTTTCTGGGTGGTGGAAGGTACACACTTTCGAACAGCCCGAATGCAGTGGCGGCTCTGATAATTTCGCTTTTCCCAAAATTTCCAACCCACAGCAATGACAACAGGTTTGTGAATTTTGTTTTTCTATAACGATTCAATTCCTAAAAAAAGGTAGACAAAAACTGCTCTCGCAGTTTTACACAATTTCTTTACATTTCTGAAAATACTCTAATGAATGAAAATACTCTGAAATCTTAATCTTTTGCATATAAGCAATATTATTATTTCGATTTAGGTATCATTTACAAGCGTTGCGCCACTTGTACGTGTTAGCAGCTGAACCACGTATTATCTTACCGAGAGACATAGATACTGGCCAATACTGTTATGCGACAATACATTTAACATTCGAGAATGACAAAGAAGCCGAAGGGCAAGAGATCAATCTACAGGCGCCGTGCTTATTACCACAATTATGTAGCTTAAAGAAGATTGAATTGAAAGATTCAAGATACTGGAAAATTACATTTTTAAAACATCACAACTGGCAGCAACTAGAAAATATGCTGGAACGACACGATTTTTTGAGCATCAAGCAAAGAGCTGGTTGTTTATCGTACTTGGAAGATCCTCACGTAAGACATTACTACTTAAAGAAATATCTTAATGTTATATATTCTTTGTAAATAATATTAATGAATATTTTAATTCATTTTATTATAGGGTCTTAGAAGCTTAGTGGCCCAAACTCTAACGACGGAAAATGCAATCGCATGGGCTGCACGACCAGAATATGTCACATCGTTTACGAATGACAAAACTGTATTAAACATTGTGACGTATTTTTTGCAATGGTCTAAAAAAGGAATGATTCGTTCTGAAAGTATCAAATATTCGTCGCAAAATGGTACGATTTCATTATGCCTTTAATACAAAATTTAATTAAAGATTAAAAGAATAATATATTCTAGTTTTTGTTAATCATGCGAGTATTTTTGCCATGAAAAAGTGATTATGTTTATAACTATTTATTTTGTATATTAAGAAAATCATATGATAGTTCTCTCTTCGAGATATTGATATATCTCGCCTATATTGATAGTTCTTCTTTTTCTATGTCAGATCTCCGTGTTACTTTCAACTGTGCACTTTACAAAATGACATTTTTATCAAATGATACAATTGTATACTTACAGACGTGCAATGCAAAATGCCAGAATTCGAGCAGTACTTCCTTCACATATTCGCAATAATCGTGTACGAATGCATTACAAAGGATAAAGTAAGTCTCATACCGTTATGGTTGCACATAATTAAAAGTATAAAAATTATTGAGGAGCAACCAAACAGCTTCGCGATATGGCAAATAAAGCTCCTTTCGCAAATGTCGAAAAGAAGCAATCTTGCGAATGGCGAAAATCCGTTATTCAGCGTAGAGAGTATGCTCGCGATTAAGCAGAAAACGGCGATCATTCTGGATAAATGGGAGCACGGTATTTATTAACGCATCGCACTGCATGCTATACTTTGTTGTTAAATTTGATATATTATTTGGCTCGTTTTTCTGGTTTTCAGATATGAAATCTGTATTCAAAGAATATCTTACGAATGGAATTGTACAGGCTGATAGTGTATCTCTGGCTAAAATGTGTGCATATTTCATATTCTACGACATACCCTATCCAATCGACGATAAATCAATCTGTAAGTCTCCACTTTTTTTGTACTTAATAAGGATATTTTTCACTTGCCATGTTTATTTTTAGTGAATTCGATCGCGACGACGCAGTGCTCTTCTGGTATACCGAATGTTACGTTGTACAAATTGCGCAAGATTTTACAAACAGTTTGAAGGTAAAATCCTTATATATAATAAAATGTTGAAAATGATTGAACGAATGAAAAGATTGAGTGAATAAAGATCTATTATTCTTTTCTTTTTATTAGTCATCATGATTTTTTTACTCATTCCGCTTGCAAACTAAGAACATTGTGCCATATCAGTATTTGATAATATGAAATAATTTGTAATTTTTAATCTCTGTTGCATTTTGATAAAATTTGCAAGTTTGCATGACAATAAAAAAATTTTATAAAAAAATATCGATTAAACAGGATAAATTATTAAAAAATAAACATATGTACATCGTACAGGATATGTCAATATTTATATAGGGATTATATGAATTTAGTGATCAAAATGAGAAAGTAGGAAATTATAAGCATTTATTTTTTATTTTAAACAAATCGTAATCAAAAATAATCCATAAAATTGTATAAATATATGTATTCATTACGTATTAATATATTTAATTATACATTATTGTTCAGGATCACAGAAGTCTTAAAATATAAACTCTCTCTAGTTGTACTTCATCTTTTGTATAACGACCCAATTCGATATTAAACATTTATTATATTAGAATAGAGCCGCATATATAGTTAGATTGATGAAAATGTTACGTAAATAACCCGTTCCGCCTTCTATAAAATTGTTCTTCATGTATGATAGGTGTACCAGTTATCGCGTGTATCAAGTTATCGATCATTTCTCCAACGAATGTATAAGAATATAAGCATCCAACTAGAATACCACCCAGGTGACCGACGAAGGAAGCATTTGGGACCAGCAGGTGTATCAATACTAGCTCAAACCACACCGCTAATTTACTTGGCACTATAAATCCGCTGATATAGTGCAGTTTGTCGCGTTCCTCGCACAGCGCAACGACTTTCAATGCGAATAACGTGGCGGAAAAGCCGATGGCGCAAGCCGTGAAATATCCATAATCCCCTGTTAACTGCATCAGTACGTATCCCAGGGATACATACATAGCGCTACATCCGACGGATAATACACCAAGTAAGAGTACAAAGTTTGCCGTTCCGTAGATGGGCTCCAAATAATAACCTTTCATAATGAAAGAGAGCATGTTGTAGTACAGATGCATATCGGACGCATGCTCGAAGTTCGAAAGGAAGAACGACCGCCAGTCTTTGTACTTAATTATTTTCACGGCCGATATGCATACATCCTCCGCGTTCCACGGCACTCGTATCACTCCGATATACAATAAAGCCTAGAAAGAGAATAAATATGTATTATTTTTTCTACAATCTATGATGCTAGTCGGCTGCTTGTAAAAGCTAGCGTTTGTAAAGTAATCGAGTAGAAGGATTCAATTTTATCAAACTAAAGAGTCAATTAGAATAAATTGTGAATCAATTCTAAAGATACTGGACCCGAAATAATGAAGTCGGATAGTTAAAAGTTTTATCAAATTTTTATGGTAAAGATTACCTGTGCGACGACTCCAATTAGAGTAGCAGGTGGTATTCTATCAAGTCCAAAGTTTATGACCTGCATACCCAGCAAGAATATCCCGCTCTGCAGGCCCTGATGTCGTCTTTGGCTACGTATCATAATGCTGTAGGATATGATGCAATATATTGATGAAAATAATCAGCTTTTTAAAAGGCCGAAAGACTAAAGACTTGTCACATCTCTACAGGATTCTCCTGCAAGTAAATTTCAGATATCTATATTTTTTCCATCAATATGAATAAAATAATGCCTTTTCTCAAATTTTCATTCAATCTGGTGTTCGACGTTTTGTGTATTTAAAAAAGAGATTCTGAGGTATCAGAGTCAGTCACCGCTTGATCCTGTAAAAAGAATAGAAATTAAAAGCGATTTTTTTTTAAATAAATTATACTGAGAATATTCATACTCCAATCTTATATTTAAGATCACCTGATTGAATCTGATTTCAAGTGATTTAAAAATTCAACTAAGTGAAAATAATTCTACAAAATCTTGAGAGTGTGCTTAAGCAATCTTAAATATAAAAATCGGATTACGTGATTATTATTAAAATTACATTTTAAGATTAGAAATCTACACTAGAATAGGATAGATAAACGCGTAAAGAATCTTAGGATAATCACTTTAATAATGAAACAAAAAATAACTCGTAGTTTCACAGTTTGTGAGATTATTTTGAAAGATTTCGCGACCAAATTTTGCTCATATAAATAATTATTCAATCAAATGGATGAAGAACGTAATGATTGCAATATCGCGCGCAATTTCATTCAATCGGTAAAATAGATTTCCTAACCTACAGAAATACCTCCTCTAATTTCGTTTGTATCTCAGGTCCACACTCCACACGACTGTCACTTTCCGTGTTTTCCTCGAGGAGCACCACCTGACCGCGACAAGTATTGCAACCAGCGAGGGAATAAAATTTAACTTCCAAATTGCCAGAGAAATCGCTGTAATGTCGACAAAAGAAATAATAAAATGACACGGAACGTGACGTGAAAATTTGCAAGGAAAATGTCACAGCCGAGAGCACAGGCGACGTTGCGTATACTGATTGGCGGCCGCTATGTATGTATGGTTACAGGTTATGTTGTCCTCCGTCCTCTCTTTCTCTCTCTCTCTCTCTCTCTCCTGACTCTCCTCTTCCGATCGCACGAGCGGGATCTCGCGAGGTATCGAACTCGAGGTCGAAACGCGGTAACCACATGCCACAATTGCCACATGCGAGACTGATATGATGCGCCGGGAGCTGAGTGGTATTTGTTGTCGGCCGCGTATCGGAGCTCCTTCATCCGAAGGGGCATTCTCCACGCGTGAACGCCTTCCGTATCCGAGAAGATAAGGACTTGTTTCGCGTACGATGCGCGATCGCTCCCCCTTATCGCAGTGATAAGATAGCTGATCTTTCGAGAGGACGGCGCAAGACGCGTTGTTTACGATACTGATAGGGTTACGTGGCACCCGTACTTCTCGCGCTCCGGAAGATAACAGGGATCCTTATTATTCTTCACCGTGACAGATGCGACGTTAGAGTGACCCGAGGAGCATTTCGACAATATTTCGCGAGGTAGGAAACGAGCTTTGCCTGATTGTTTTATATTTTGTTGATGCACGTAATATATCACTGCGCCGTTGGGCGCAGAATTAACGTAGAATTAACGTTTGATATTTTGTCGCGCTAGATGGTAAAAAGGAACGGACTCTGGAAGCTGACGCAGCTTCGGGCGTTGATGAGGAACGTGCAAGCCGGTGGCATTCGAGAGAAGGGTATCCAGGCGCTGATCGTCAACGGGGAGGATGCGCATCAGTCGGAGTATTCGACGGAGCGTGATCAGAGGCGGCGTTTCGTCAGCGGATTCCGCGGCTCGTACGGCACGGTGGTCGTGATGCCCGACACGGCGTTGCTGTGGACAGACGGTAGATATTACCAGCAAGCCATGTCGGAGTTGGATCCGCCAGAGGCGTGGACTCTGATGAGGGAAGGCTTACTCGACACACCCACCATCGCCGTATGGCTGGCCTCGAACTTACCACCGAAATCGGTGGTCGGGGCTGATGCCAATCTGATAAGTTACACGGAATGGGCGCGATTGCACACCAGTTTAACCGCCGCCGGTCACTGCTTGATCCCACTACCCGAGAACCTGGTGGACAAGGTGTGGGCCGACGAGCAGCCGGCGCCGACGGCCAACGCAGTCTTGCCGCAGTCGTTACGTTATTCGGGCCAGAGTGCGGAAGACAAAGTAAGATTGTGTCGCGACGCTATGCGAGAGAATGACGCGACGGTACTCGTGGTAACTGCACTGGACGCGATTGCGTATCTGCTGAATTGGAGGGGCTCCGATATACCCTTCAATCCTGTCTTCTTCGCGTACGTCATTCTCACCCTGAAGGACGTGCATCTCTTCATAGACAGAAGTAGGCTCAGCAAGGAGGCGTTGGAGCAACTGGTGAACGAGGGTGTCTATCCGATCATCCACACCTACGAGGATATACATTCTTTTATGAAGGAGCTCGTGAGCTCCTGTTTGGATCAAGATAAAATTTGGATCAGCAATAAGTCCAGCTATGCGCTACACGCGGATTGCGGGGATATCAAGAAACACACGGACATCACGCCTATCAGCGTTATGAAATCGATAAAGAATCCCATCGAGATAGAGGGTATGAGAGCGTCGCATGTGAGAGATTCGGCCGCTCTCGTCAAGTATTTTGCCTGGCTGGAAGACAAAATCAAGAATACGAACGAACGTATTACGGAAATCTCGGGTGCGACGCGGCTGGAGAAGTTTAGACAGTAAGTTATATTTCACAAAGCAACACACTTTTTACAATGTAAAATGTAGATGATTTAGATACAAGAAATTTATTTATTTATTTTTTTAACAAGGGAGCAAGCTCACTTTGTCGGATTAAGTTTCACCACCATATCGTCCGTCGGTCCTCACGGAGCAGTTATTCACTACTCACCTACTGCAGAGACCGATGTGCCTATTACGGATAAAGAGCTTTATCTCTGTGATTCTGGCGCGCAGTATCACGATGGTACGACGGATGTAACGAGAACGTTACACTTTGGCGAGCCCACGAGTTTCGAACGTGAATGTTTCACCAGAGTTTTTAAGGGACAATGCCGACTATCGACAATGGTATTCCCCTTGAAAACGAAAGGAAATTACCTCGACACGCTGGCGCGCGAAAGTTTATGGAGCGTTGGGTAAATAAAGATTTTTTTATTAAAATATGACATTTTATGCGAGAACAATTCTTCTTATGTTTAACTGCGAATTAATTTTACAGTCTTGATTACCTTCACGGTACTGGTCACGGAGTAGGATCCTATCTCAATGTCCACGAAGAGCCGATTGGTATCTCATGGAAGCCGCATCCAGATGATCCAGGTTTACAACCGGGGATGTTCTTATCAAACGGTACGATAAAAACGTTTGGATGAAACGTCGTTTACGTAATCGATACATTTAAGCTATATATATTGATATAGACAGATATATATTAATCTATCTATTCTTCGAAAACAGAGCCAGGATATTACGAAGACGGGAAGTTTGGTATTAGATTGGAGAACATCGAGTTAGTCGTTCCTGCGAAGACACCGTATAATCACAAAAACCGAGGTTTCCTGACATTCGAAACCGTGACGCTTGTGCCTATTCAAACGAGTCTGCTCGATGTGTCGATGCTTACAGACAAGGAGGTATGCGCATTCTCACGCACTTTTCATTTTATTTAAAAATATTTCACCTATGTTTCACGATTACGTTATTTTATTCCAGATCGAATATTTGAATAATTATCATAAAAAATGTTTGGAGGTTTTAAGACCTTTGCTACAAGGACCGGGGAACCTTCAGGCGCTTAAGTGGCTCGAGAAACAAACCCTTCCCATTTCCCGTTGAAGATTTTATAACTTCAATTTAACACGATGGAGCTGTAAAAAAAATCACTTGAGAGTATGTAACATAACAAAATTGCCTGATTTTGAATTTAATATTACAGCGAGATAGCAAGCATTCGACTGGTATATGAAACTTGTATAATTTTGTGTACATTGCTGACCATGTACACGCAATCACTTAAATCGACGTGAATGAATAAACAACGAACGAACGGTAAAAATGAAAATAATCTTATTTAAACATCTTTGGTACAATGTTCTACAGTCGAATCGAAAGTGAATCAAATCCTAACAATCATTTCGCGCATTTGCATTTACTATAACACGAATATCTGAACAGAAAAAATATTATATTTGCGTACACACTTTCTGTTTCGTTTTTTATTCATTTAACGTATATCTATCTCGAGAGACAGAAAGAGAGAAAGAGACGCTCTATCACACGTTGATCACATGATGTTCAATGTATCAAATGAATCAGGTGTTATACAGTTTTATTATTCATATCTTTATGATATAAGATGTTATTTTAATAACAGCATATACAAATCCAAAATGGTATTATAAGACACCAATGATTGCGTCACAATTTTATCACGATATATACATTAAAAACTATGAAATATACATTTTTATCTCCCTGTCTCGTACACATTTGTGTCAAAGATACGTTATATAAAGTAAGAAGATTATATACGTTATGATCAAGTAAGATGTATACAAAAGAAAATAACTTTGCTTTTTTCAAAAGAAGTGTTTGAAAGTTAACAGTTCAGGTTCAAAATATCCACGCGCATTCAGTCAATGATGTCTTTTATTTCCGGATTGATTTTTTATTAAACATTTCTGAATATTTACGCATCATGATTCGTGACATCTTTATATAAGTATTCGAAAGGCGCAAAAGTTAAACAATTATTTTATAAAATTAAAAATGATGTCACAATATTAAATTGTTTAATAAAAATATCGAATTAGATTGTTTTAATTGACAGGCATGAATATCTGGATTTGTCCAATCTGAAAATATCTAATCCGAAAGTGGAAAGTGTTATGCTGAATCGCCATCTATATAGTCACATGACGTTGGGAACTTTGGGGATCGAACGCATCTATGTATTTGTGTTTCATGGCTTCGAACTGACGCCACTGACGATATTCGGAGCTTTGAGCTTTGAGCACTCTGTGTGACACATTGCAGATATATTGAATAGGTAAATCTATAGTTCTTTAAAAGATATTTAGCCGAAAGAAGTATCAGAAACGTACTTCCAAAGCTTGGAATATTATAATATTTTCGCGTAAAACATATATATTTCATATTTTCGATCCGATCAAAAATCTACATGTCGGAAATAAAAACACAGCGTCCGATGTTTTGAATATCGATTAGCAAATACCTTACATACGTAAAATGTATCCGCACCAAATAATTGCGATATCTGATGGATATCTTCGCGTTATCATATATATTCATCGAACAGCCGAGATAAGCGTGAATTATGCGTGGGTAGATAATCCGTCGCCGTCGATAGATATATCGCGGAAATTTACACTGCATGACGGAAGGCATCTGCACGGGAGATACGTCGAAAATTGCAAAATTGTATTTCAAATGCATTTTACATTTATAAAATGTAAATATACATACAAAGTTTATATAAAGTACATATATAAAGTTTATATAAAATTTCTAGTTACATACAATTAAAAATATTTTATAATTGAAATTATAGTGGGAGAAAATATTCATATTGACATGACTTATTCACACTTACACGAAATGGCTCTCATCTCCCCGCGATACTCCCGTCATCCGTTCTTTAAAAATTGACGAATATTGATATTGACGTTCGCGTTTTATAATATATTCTACGGTTATTTCTGCACTCTCTTGCATCGTATGATACAGCGTGTAAATAACGCGTTCTTAAATATCTTTAATATTTATAGAAGGTACACCTGTGGAATGTGTAATAATTAGTGTTATTTATTTCGTTGTACAGAAATATGTTTATTCAACAGACTGCATAAGAATGGAAAATACGATCGTGTTTTATAATTAAATTATTTATTATCAATGGATTTTCGATAAGTATACATAATTCTTCACGAGAATTAGATTTAATTTGTACAATTAATCGATACCCCCTTGTCGTAACCGTGTTAAAGCGATTAATTATAGCCCTCATTATCTAGATTTTTTTTACAATAGATATAATTACGATGAGAGCTAATAGGGGGATAATAGCTTCTCGCGAAATATAATATCTCGCGAGCGCGTCTAGGGAAAACAACGATGGGAAAAACAACGATCAGGAGAGCAGGACAGTTCCATCGGCGCTTCCGAACGAGCGTGATAAAACGCAGTTTCCCGTGTACCATATATATATATGTACCTCGCGTTCGTTGTAATAGAAAAACGCCTAAAATAAAATTCGCCGTTTCTTACATACAAATCGAAGCAAAATTTTCGTCGATAGGCTATCTGTCAGAAATGGACGGTAGGACCGATGAAAATCGGCGGGAGAAAACTCTCGACGCCCCCGGCCCCGATAATCGCGCGTTTCCATAATCTCCGGTGGAAACGCGTCGCGGACGTGACGAGCGGTAACGAAGCAGGAACAAGGAAAAAAAAAAGGGGAAATAGAAAGTCGTCGCGGATGAGGCCGGCCGCCGTCATTGACAAGTGGGAATTGTATTAAGTGAGCCCGCATTACGTTAAACAAACCCCGTGCGTCTATAAATATTGCACGCGACGTGTAAACTCGCGTCAATCGATTACCGGCGCAAGGGCTCTCTCGCGAATGCGAACGCCTGTCGCACTCCCGCCGGTGCTCTCCTCCCCCTCTCTCTCTTTCTCTGTCCGCCGGCGTAACAATAACCGTGCGGCACCGTAATTCCGAAAATAGCGCCGGCGAGAGGCGCGCTAATGCTATTTCGAGTCGCGTGTCAAAACACACCGCGATACGCGATGCGTATCGGGGAGCCTGCGTTCTCCAGCGCAGGAGCCCGATCGAAAGGTGAGCCGCGCGCGTTCCGACACACGCTCGCGCACGCCGCATGTACGTCTGTATGCGTTTTAGTTCGCTTCTATATATAGACCTGTATCCCTGCGTATCCCCAGTGTCAGGGAGAAGGTCGGGGGGAGGATGGGAAGGGAAGGGAGGGCCGATGGAGTTGCAGGCAGGGTCGTCAGGACGCTCTCCTCAGTGTCATCCCCGACGGTCAAGGGCAGTGGCGTCGCGTGACGTCACGCGACGCTGCAATGACGCAACTAGTCGCCAAGGGCAACCCACGGTGGTGTGGTATGGTCGCTTGGCAACCCCTTTTCGCCCTACTGCCGCCGCCGCTGCCGCTCGGCTGCCACCGTACTCCCTCTCCCACCCCTTATCCCACCTCATATCGCAGCCGCACTCTCTATCTCGCGTACACGTGCCGTTGCTCAATGAACTCTCTCCCCGCCGTCCCTCCCTTTCTCGCTCGCTTGCTCGCTCGCTCTCACTCCCCCTCCCGCGTTGCCGCTCTTCCGTTCGCCGTGACGTGACCCTAACCCCTAGCGGGGCCTTTCGCGGATGCTGCGGCGCAACGGAGTAACGACACCGGCGCACCCCGTTTGCCGGTTTTACTTCCGTTCCCCCCTCGCTCGCCTACCGCTGGGATTTTTCAACGTTAATATTAACGCGCTAATTCTGAAAAATGTCACGAACCCCCGGCCAGTTTCTAATACTGAGAATTACTTGTTTCTCCCGCTCCCCGAAATCGTGCTGTAAGATCGTGCAACGCGGAACAACCCGTTGTGCAACCCCCATGCTCTGCTATTTAACGAATAATCGATGGAATTGTTTCACCTCCGATACTCTGGAAAGTTCCAACCTTTGCCCGTCCTGAACAACAGGTGTTTAGACGTCAAGTCGAAGGAAAGATTTTGTTATTAAAATACCTGACGATTTATTTTTATCTGAAATATCGATCATACGATTAAAGTCTCGATTTGTCTCGCGACGAAATGTCTTTTCGTTAGCTCTTCGTTCGTTCGCGAAGGAGGGGAAAAAAGAAGATTTTATTGAGCGGGGAAGAAAGGGTGGGAAGAAGAAAAAAAGAGTGGAAACTGTCCCCGAGTCAAGATAGATATCTATTAAGATAAAAGAGAGAAGAGAATGCACGATGTTATGGGAGAACGAAAGGCAGGCAAAACAGTGAAAGAGAGGAAAGGAGAGGGGAAAAAAAGAGGAGACTCCTCGGAGGGATTTCTCGCGGTGAGACGGAGAACAGCGGAAAGGTATACCGCGAAGTGCAGAGGAGGCTTCATCTCGCTCTCGGTCCTATTTATAGACGTGCTCTCAGCTTCACTCGTGCCCACTGTCGCTCGCGCACTGTCTTTCTTATGTAGGTGTCTGATATACCTATATATATGTAGCGCGACTATATCGCGCGTTCTCTCTCTCTCTCTCTCTCTCTCTCTCTCTCTCTCTCTCTCTCGCTCTTTACTGGGCAAGCTACCGAGTCGACCAAAACCGTGCAAGATGTTCGGAACGCGGGAGATCGATCGTGTCGGATCCAAACCGCGAAACAATTGTCTGCGTACGGTGTAGCGAATATTTCCGTTGAAGAGACGCTTTTGTAACACAACGAACGGAGGTTGAGATAACGCCTTTCGCGCGTCCTCATCCTCATGGCTGGACGTTTTGAAACGCGCGCGGCTCTCTCTCTCTCCCCCACGATTTAACTTTCGCGATTTGTCACGACCGCGCGGCTAAATTTGTCGGTTTAATTAAATCTTTGTTAAATTTTTATCGGAAACAAACTCTGACATTTTCTTCTGGCGCGAAATAACATTGTATCTGGATATATACGTTCGGTGACGCACACGCGCGCGGGCGCGTGTGTTGAACACAGGGCAATATTTGTTAAACATCGAAGTAACTTCTTTTTTTCACGAAAATTTTATTTAATATTTTCTTGCGACCTTTAAAAATTTTTTTGTTAAATATCACGAGCATTTTTACTTCCCTTTAAATAAAATCTGTTTAAAACAAACCGAACAATAAAAACCTTATGTATATTACTTATACGACGCAATGTTTATCAAATTTTTTTCTATAAATGAATACTTGTTAACTTCATTTATCGCTATTTTTATAAAGCAAAATTATTTCATCTTTCGAATAAAATGTTCAGCTAATTTCTTATAAATGGTTAAGTTAAAAACACAAAAAGTTTTACAAATGATGTTTTTATTTGACATTTTATAATCGGATCCAAATTTCACTCCAAATCAATCGACTTGGATGTTGCGAATTTTAAGATTTTCACTGAGGTTAATTTGCCTTAATACTATATCGGAATGCTTAAAGATCGTGCGTAGGCTAACGCTCCGTGAGCTTGTATACATTTCATGTTTGTTACACAGAGCATTGAGGAGAGGTTTAAGTATTTAAAAACTCGACGACATGTTCCTTGATCAACATAAAGCCGATTATTTTTTTTATTAAAAATATTGTTACATCGATAATTCTTTGCCTTAAGAAATAGTCAAATATTTTTTTTACATATTTAAGAGAATTCGGAGATGTAAATAAAATTTTAGACATCTAATTTCGAAAAAGCGAATTTTACTTTGACAGAATTTTAATTTAAAACTTGATAATAAAAATTTCGACCATGAAGGAAATCGGACTCCAAATTGTTCAAGGAATTCACCCACCGGTCGTTCAGTCCCTTCCCTAACAGTCTGTACACAACTCTTGTGAAAGGGTTACGAAAATAATCAAAACAACTTGGCCTCGAATCAATGTTAATTGTATTTCTGTTAATAATTGTTGCAAGATTGTTCGCGTTACCCGCTTTGCAAAGAGAAGCATATGCAGGAGCGATGATGACAACACGAATATACAGGTAGCTGGGAGCCTTTGTTATGTGCATTGCACCCGGAGCGCAATATGTATAATAATTACATATAATTTATCTAGCGATAGGATAATACTATCTGTAAAAAAAGTATTTTCTCGGGGACGCGCGCTTGCATTACATTGCGTTTACAATTTTATGTAGTGTGTATCATCGCGTTCGCATATGACGTTGTTGTGTTTACTGCGTGTGTTTTTGTGTATATGTATGTGGGTGTTTGTATACGTGTACATATGCATATGCGACTTTATGTTTATAATTCATATACAAGCTTGGGTATGTCATTTCATTGTTGCAACGCATTGCACGCCAGAATAGTCGTTACAATATAATAAAAATAATTATTTAACTTTAACAATATATTCATTTGATATAGTCATCTTGTTAATAAATAGAGCAACATATACATAACATTAACAATTGCTAAATATATGTATACACGTACGGGATAATAATGCAAAATAAAGTAAAGAAAAGAAAGGGTCAGGGGTGGGCAGGGGGAGGGAGAGAGGAAATGGCAAGAGAACGTTAGATTTTACATACATACAGCAATTATGTATAATAAGTTATATACATATGTACATGAAATTTCTTTCAACAACGATAATCACGTTTAATTACAATTATTTGTGGAATTTTTTTACAGTAATGCGAGAAAGGAGGAGGGAGGAGGGAAGAGGGTTGAGGGCGAAAGAATGATTTTGAGAATTGGAAGTATTTGACGGAGACAGCCGAGATTTAGCGTGTTCGGAGCACGAAGAAAATACGGAGCGGGAACGCAGGTGTAAGGGCAACGAGAACAGTTTAAATAAAAAAGGAGGGGAGGGAAACAGAGAAAAAGAAAATCGCTGCTACGAAATCAAAACTCTCGTGACAAAATTTATGCGGGGAAATTCACGAAAATATTGCACAATTTCGCCGGCGGGGAAACGTAGCTTCGGGAAAAATTTAACAATTGTCAAAACTAAGTTTCTCAACAACATTTATCGCAACGCGAGGAACTTTCATTTCTTTCCTCTTTAGCACCTATACATCTTCTAACGCAATTTCGTTAAAATTTTTTTCAAAAATAAATACTTTTGACTGTTTTCTTTTTTGTTGCATAAGAAAGAGAGAGAGAGAGAGAGAGAGAGAGAGAGAGAAAGAGAGATTGATAGTTTATATACAAATATATACTTAAAAAAATATCTCTATTTCTCCGTTGCCGCGAACCTTGTCAACAGTCCCGCCTTCCTTGTGAGACAGATCTACCTCTACAAATATACAGCTCCATGAAAACATGAATTTCTTGGGAATTGCACTCGAACCGCATGAGTCTTTTAAATTGCGTTTTTAACGGGGAGAGGTGGGATAGGGTGGGACGAGAGGACGAGGTAGGGGACGAGATATATGCTCTTAAATATTGAGTCCCGCTTCTCTCATATTGACCATGGAACGAGTCGATATATAATACTTCATCGTTTTACGTAGCATTACATTCTCGCACAGTCGTTCGCATGCAATGAGACGCATCGCTCCACCCCATCCCACCCTCATCCCTCCTCTGATCTCTCCCTCTCTTTCGCTCTCTCCCCCGTCTCTCTCTTTCTATCTATCTTCCGCTTCACTCTACAATTCCCGGAAGCTGCGGATGGTATCGATTTCGTGTTATACAATTGCACGAAAATGCTCTTGCCACGCTCAATGGCATCTAGATACACGATGCCATCGAATATGTCACGGGAAGGGGGAAAAGAGAGAGAGAAAGAGAGAGAGTTCACATTTTGTACGTATCTGGATACAAGCTAAGACACGAAATACATGTAAAGCGGAATAATAACGTCGTTTTTCTATTTTAAGAATGGGATATTTTTTTATAATCGGACGATTAACTTCCGTTTCATTGTGGTTGCTTCCATTCAGCTGCGAGTTCGTTTTCAATTGATCGCACAGATCGTAGTATATTTTAAGTACTTCGATTTTTCGCTATGACGCAAGAGCTATTATCTTCATACAATGAGTAAACCGTATTCTTATGAGTTTCGTTTTAAAGTACACGAAGTTAATCGTTCTCCTGCGAATGATAAGAACTGTATATGCGACATTTAACTCTTTCCTCTTATTTTGACTCACATGATAATTTTCAGAATGAGCAAATTGTTTATTATTATTATTATTATTATTATTATTCGTGTGATTTATAGATACGTTAGCGAAAATTCCAAAGAATTCGTCTTGTGCTGCTCGTAAGATTCAAGTAATTTGTATCCAGCTATGTTCTAAGATAATATAAAGGGCTAATTGACCGATGATAAATTACGGATCAGTCGGCGACGGGTCAGTTATGACCGTCTAAAGCTTTCCGCGATTTTCTTCATCGGTCATCAAGAGAGATGCAGAAAAGGAGGGATGATCGATGATCGAGAAAGAGAAGAGGGAGAGGAGAAGGGGAAGAAATAGAATCAGGGAGACATAGATCACAACTTGTCAAAACGTGACAAACATAATGAGATCTCAACGTTAAAGGGGATTTTTCAACATCGTTGTCATGGAATTCATTGATTGCAGGGTGACGACGCGTGGCTCTGGTGATGGGACCTCGGATTAGCGTGGGACGCCTCGCGCTTCAGCCTCTGCTTGAGATGTACCTTCGCGTGGCGCTTCTTCTCGTCACTCCTGGCGAACTTACGGCCGCACTGATCACAGCAAAACGGTTTCTCGCCGGTGTGCGTACGCACGTGGGTGGTTAGATGGTCGCTCCTCGAGAACGAGCGCATGCAGATGCGACACTGAAACGGCTTCTGCCCGGTGTGGATGCGTATGTGCCGTGTAAGCTCATCGCTGCGGGAGAACCTGCGGTCGCAGCCGTCCACCGGACAGGCGTATGGCCGCTCATGGACCGGCGTCTTGCTCGGTCGATTGGGGTACTTGCGCGGTTTCACGGGGACCAATCGGAGCGGTAGGGTGCTTTGCTGATAGACCTGAGAGAGGATCTCGTGGCCCTTGGACGTACTCGGATTGTACTCAGCCAGCTGGACTCCTCCCGAGGTGGCAGATGGCGGAGGTTGCTGTTGCTGCTGTTGCTGAGCCTGCGCCTGAGCTTGCTGTGGCTGTTGTACGTTGGGAGTGTAACCGGTGCCGGTCGGCTCCTGCTTCAACGTTGTCTCCTGGTGATGGGCGTGAGAGTGATGGTGGGAGAGGAGACCGGGATCGTAAGCGTCCTCGTGACCCGTCAGCCAGGTCGCGGGGGTGGTAGTCGCCGTGTCGTGATAACCGGGCGGCGGGGGTGGCTTCGAATCGACCTGCAGCAATTCAACGGTCTCGCCGCTGTACGCGGTCGAGTGTAGGTTGGGGTGAAGGAACGGCTGGCCCGCCAAGGTTAAGGTTGGCGACGGCAACGGCCCCCACAGCTCCTGACCCGTCGGCTGTTGCGGTTGCTGCTGCTGCTGCTGATCGCCCTGGAGATTGCTCAGGGGCGAGGACTGCGTGCAGGTCGTGGTGAAGACGCCGCGATAAGTCAACGTCGGTACATTGCAGATATTCACGCTCGTCGCGGACGCATTGGACGTGGAATGCGGTGAGTACAAAATTACACTCTGCAGCGCGTTGCAGCGATCCGCCTCGTCCTGGGTTTGGTGATGGCGCGACGGCGGACTGCTCGAGGAAGGCGCGTTCGACGTGACGGTATTTCGCGCGTCCTGATGGTGATGATGCCGATGATCCCTGCCGGCGGACGCGCCGTTCTCGTCTTCCTCCGCGGTCGCCTCTTCTAAAGAGAGATCGTCGTTCGCCAGACTGCCTGTGAAGCATCGATAAAAATCATCGTTTAGTCTCGATTTCGAATACACTATGTACGTACATGTCACATATGTTTCATTATGTGTCCTATATACGCGACGAACGGTTGTGTATTTGTACCGGCAGGAAGAAACACGCGATACGGGGGTGACTTTATCTCTCAGAGGCTCTATCTTTTGTCTGCATCCTGCCACGTTGTTACTTCCTTTCCTACGCATATAATTGCTAACTGACGTTGAGGAAGTACTCATCAAAATCTCAAATAAATGGAATGTAATACCGCGCATTTTTTTTTTTTTTTTTATAAATAAAAGGACTTTACCGATTCAATAATATTTTCCCGATATAACTTAACGAATATATCGCTGAGGAATAAAACACGCCAGGGATCGTCGTAATTGTCTGTTTGCGCTTTTATTAAATATACACACTTTCATGTCGGGAGATAAAAAGGAATATAGCAAATGCCTTTGTAAAGCTGTACGATAATCGGGAGGGTTATTACGGTACTGAGGGTGGCGGAGGTGGGGGCAGCTGGAAGCATGAATGAACCGAACCGAAGGGATAGTGGGAGGAGAGAGAGAGAGAGAGAGAGAGAGAGAGAGGAGAAAGAGGAGGAGGTGGCGGTGATGCAGAGGAGGGTCTCTGAATGTCGGGGTCGTTGGGTATTGATCCGCGACAGGCGGACAGACCTTCGATATTACGTGTTTTCGCGGGCGAGTGTAATAAACGTCAGTAACACGCCTCGTGGCTCCTCGCCGCAGACGTCGCGGCTGCTCGCGCATCGGCCGCGAGTGCCGTACTCGAGGTACTTAAGACGATACCTAAATTTTCCCGCGAATGATACAGATGCTAACGATCAGGCATCAAGGAGTGCGAGGAGCTTGCGGACGTATAGAAAGCGAAAGGTCGACGAAAGCGAAACAGAACGTATTCAATGAGCGCCGTGTTTTCGCCCATGTAATCCTGTTAATGTTCGCTGAATCACGAGGGATACAGATCGTGTCCGATCGGCTCCGGGTTCGGCCATACGCGACGATCGCGTATCGTATGTTATCACCCTTCGTGCGTTGTCGCCAACGAAACGCATTCGAAGGAGATAAAGTCGTAGCGATGAAATAGGTATTCGATGTAAAGCTGCGTAAAGAGAAACGAGAGGAGGGTTGTTCCTCTCGTCAATTCTCGTCTTTAAGGATTAGCTGATGTAGGTACCTGAGATTGGTGGCGGTTCGACAAGCGCGGAGGGTCCGAAGAAAGACGGTAGGTCGCTGCTGGTGGTGACCGGCGTGTTCAAGTCGCCGGGCTTATCCTTATCGTTCGTATCGTGAATATCGTTCCTGCAATTCCTGATGCAACTCTTGTCATCGTCATCGGGCTGCCGGTGCCGCTTACCGTCCGCGATATCGGTGGACGGTGACGGCGCATTGGGATGCAGCTGATGCTGATGATGACCGTCCAGTCGATGATGATGCTGATGATGCCGGTCGTGGTTGTGCTCCGCGGGGGTGGTCGAGCTGATCTGCAGCTGCATATGTAGCGGCACGCTCGTAGACAGGGAGAGCTGCGGCGTGCTCTTGCCGCAGCTGGTAGAGGACGAATTCGTGCAGGTCGCGTTCACGGGTGTCCCGCTGACGCCGCAGGTGACCGAGCCGGACGAGGGGGCCGCGTTGTACGGTAAACACGCGTCGAAGCTAAGCTGCACCGGCAGATTAAACGTCGCGTGATGATGATGATGGTGACCCAGTGGTGGCGAGGAGAGCAGAAACGGGCTGGTGGCCGCGTGCGGCTGCGAGCCCACCACCTCTACGCCGTCCATAGTCATCCTCTGGAGCTGATCGCCTCCCTGGGCGACGGCAGAATCCTCGGTGCCGCACTGCGTGTCCTCGCCTGCGGTTGTATCGTTCAACGTAATTATTATGGTTAGAATTGCGGGCCGTTCCTCGATCACTCCGATAGTCTTAAAAGTTATTATTTCGAGAGCAATTAAGTATCTTTCTCTCTCTCCTCTCTCTCTCTCTCTCTCTCTCTCTCTTTTCTCTCTCTCTCTCTCCCAATGTAAATAGCGCGCGTGTTAAAGACGTGTGAATAATGCGTTAATATCTCGCGATCTATCAGAGGGATCGGTCCGTGGATCTCACTCTACTCCTTTCAGCTATTAGGATTAGTAGCGATTAGGTATGCGTGACGTTTCCCTCTTTCTTGCTCGATCGCGTGGCGCGCGCCCTTGGTTAACTCAATCGAGCCGTTCCGCGCGCCGGTTTGACGCGAGAAAAAGAGGTATCTTCCTTCCCGCCTTGTGTTTTTTTTTTATCTCGAGGGATGCCACCGGCCGTGACCGGTAACACTACGTCGCGGAATGGACCACCACCGACCACTAATAATCACCATCACCGACACCAAATTTACCACCACCGTGTGCCAAGGAAGCTATACGCGCGTGTAGGACCGTTACGGCTGTCTGTCTCACATACGAGTAGATATTTTGTCGATCGGTCAGTTCGAAGTACCTGGTACCACGGTTTTCACCTCGCGAACGACGAGGAAGAGAGGTTTAAACGACGTTTATATATCGTGGGACCGGTCGCGTGTACCGCTCTCGGAGTATTACACTCCTCTTCTCACCTTCCGGACGTTACGGACGCGTCCGAGAGAGCCGATGTGAATACGCGTCGGAAAGCGAGGCAAAAGTATTCGTGCGGCGGGAGAAGACGTGTCCGGCAACCGCCACCCGCCGTCGCCGTCGCCGCCGCCGCTGCCGCTGCCGCCGCCGCCGCCGCCGCCAACCACCGCCAACCGTCGTCGCCGCCGCCGCCGCCGCCGCCGCCGCCGCTGCCGCGTCAGGTCCACGCGTGCTCCGAATCTGTGCGCGCAAGTGAGAGCAAATACAGTGTGTATGATCCGGGAACGTGTGCGTAGGCGCGCGAGCGCGAGTGGTCGCCCGCGTTTTACGTCGCGTCGGCAACTCTTTCTCTCTTTCTCTCTCTCTTTCTTTCCCTTCCTCTATCTTTCTCCCTTTTTCTCTCTCCGTCCATCCATATTTATCCGTCTCTCTTTCAATCCGCGCGCGCGTTCGCTTCTCTTTCTCTCCCTCTCTCTCTCTCGCTCTCTCTCTTTTTTATCTTTCTTTCTTTCTTTGAGCGTGGCTCTCCTTCGGTTGAAGGTGTAGCTCGGCCGAGAGAATGTATTGGCTCGTGCACGGCGACGTTGTTAAAGGACGCGCGATGCGTGGGGGTCGCGCACGAACTGAGCCGAGCGGCGGCGCGCCCCGTAGTTTTATGAATGGACCGCCGAGACTGTCCCATATTTGGAAGCGCGGAGTCGAGACCGCCAGCCAATCCCCGCCCGGCCGGACCACTGTCTACGCACGCGTGTGTGCGCGCGGGATACGTCTTCATACGTATGCGCGTATTTATATACGGCCGGCATATACATGTGTATCTTTAAGATATACGCGCGTATATTTAAATACACGTACAAATGCGCACAGATCCTATACGCGCACGTATACGTATAGATGTGTGCACTCACACACATACACACGCAAGTATCGCATACACGTATATGTGTAAGATCTGAACGATTCCTCTCTCCCTCCCTCCCCCTCACCCTCCCCACTCCTCCCAGCTTCATGCTTCTCACACCGTCGTATATACGAGCTAGTGCTTACGAACGTGTATCTACCCCCACCGATCGCCCTTCGCGCGCCGCCACCTTCCCCTATCTCCCTCCGCGTACTAGCATCCCACCATGGGAGCTTCCTCCTCCTCCTCCCCCGGGCTCCACCGCCGGCTCCACAACCCCGTTCACTAGTGACGTAGAGCGTCGTGACGTAGACCCGCGGCGCGCGACTGTTGTCCCCCCACGAGGTACTTTCGAGAACGCGCGAGCACGCGACGGGGGAAGATGGTGGAAAAGCCGCGAACTGGCGTTTAAGGAGTAGAGCGAAAAAGCGAAGCGGAAAGGACAGCGGCGATCAATCCGTCGATGTGCCGCGGAGCGACTCGATCTGCCGCCGATTGGGCGACCCGAGCGATCGGTCGGGTAATTCTTTTTTTTTCCCCTCTTTTTCTTTTCCTTTCTTGAGCGGGAAAGGGAGCAAGAACTCGGCGCCTGTATATTTTCGGACGCGTATAGTTAATCACAAATTAAAATAAGCCGAGAGGCCGGATCTGTTGGTGGGATCGCGTGTCGAAACTTGTCCGCCGGTCGTCAACGTCGATACGAGTAACTATTCCTGTCATAACCGCGCTTGTCGGCGCGGCGGTGCGAAATTATTAACGGCTCGTACGTAGCCGGGGCAAATATGGTAAGCCGCGCCGCGGTAAATTATCTTGTATTACTGTCAATTATGCGCGAAGTCCTAGAGAATAAGTATTCACTTACGCGCGGAGCGCGCAAATTGCCACCATTACCGCGTCATATCGGTAACTAAGCCCGTTGAAAAGGCATGCGGCATGATAATGAAATTCCACAGATCGCTATCCCGCGCTCGCACGTATCGCGCGGGAGATGACGTGGAGGAAACCATCGATCGCGGGGGAGAGAGCATGGGACCTGCTCTCCCCCTTCTCTCCCTCTCTCTCTTTCTCTCTCTCTCTCTATCTATCTATCTATCTATCCATCTATCTCTCTCTCTCTCTCTCTCTCTGGTCTACTCCGCTATTATTGGATCTATCACGACGGACGGAGCGTCGAGAATGTGGCCTCTCTCGCGTTTGGCCGATTGCATATATGTATAAATAGTTACGTAGTCATCCGCGGTAAAAGCGATACAAATCCATCGCGTATGGAGAAAGTAATTTTACCCCCGGACGGTGGTTTTCTCCTTCTCTTTCTCTCTTTATCTCGCTCTCTCCCCTGTCTCTTAACATCTGCGAGCGCGCGTGTCTGCCATACATGAGACACGGAGACTCGCGGGAGGGTAAGAGACGCGTGCCATTTGTGCGGACGCGTGCGTCCGTCCGTGCGTGCCTGCGTGCGTGCGTGAGCGCCCGGTTAGCAGTCACGTATTATACGCGCACGCGCGTACGATCTTTTTCTCGCGGGCGTCTCGCAACCACCTGATGCCCTATTTGGCACCACGCGCTGCCACGCGCCCGTTCCCCCTCTCCCTTCCCTCGCTCTCACGTCTCGCTCCGTCTTGCTCTCTTGGTGTCTCGCCCCCCTCCCGCCGTCTCGCCGCTATGTATCTATCCGCTCTCTCTCTCTCTTTCTATTTCTCTCTCTCATTCCTCCTGTCCGATGCGCATTTTATTTCGTTTTTTTTTATTATCCTTCCATAAGAAGTACGTTGTATTATAATTGTGCAAAAAGACTCGACACACGCGTGTTTTTCAATAATCGAGATCGAGCAGAATACGCTGATAACACGCTGTCAGATTTGCACAAAGCGAGATGCAAAAGCCACTCTACTATTCTCCATATATGTACATTCATGATTGTTACGACGTAACGTTGAAAGGTATCGATTTAATTTATACATAGATAAATCCTCAAATCTATTCTGGGGAGTACTCGTAATGCTATTGATGACGAAATTATAGCTATTAGGAAATGGATGCTAGTAAATGGTTTACTTTCGGATGATGCGAGCGCCAGGCCTATAATTAATGCTAGGCTACCAAATAAGTCGATAACTCTCAAAGAATATGTCATACCTATTATTGATCTCTCTCTCTCTCTCTCTCTCTCTCTCTCTCTCTCTCTCTTTTATATTTTTTATTATCATAGAGTCCAACCAATTCAGTTTAACATATTTGATTATTTTTTTCGCAGTACAGCTGCATAGGTCAATAAATAATATAGGAATTTAATTGTCTAATTGTATTTTGTGAATTTTCTCTGTAATATGATAACACGCACAAGATACTCTATACGGGATGATCTCACGCGTGATGTGCGTTAATACTCCGGTTCGATTCGATCGGCTTTACGTAAAAACCGATGCACGTACACGGGGAGCAAAGGGACAGTGACGCACGCCGACGACGTTGATCTGGCACAACAAAATGTTCTAAAATTACCGGTGGCTCTTGACGAGGTGGTGGGCGCGCACTATTCGTGGCCCTAATCGACGCGATTTTGCGCGGGCGAGCGACGCTATTTCAAGCCGCCACGCAACCACCTGAGCCACCCAGCATCCCCAAATACCCGGGATGACTAGCGCGGCGAGCGTCAAATATTTCCCTATGCTGCCGATGAGTCAGTCAACCGATGATGCGAGATTTTTGGCAACGCGCGCCACCCAACCCGCTCGCTCCTCTCGCGCGATCATCACGTCGCCTCGCGCGTTCGTCGTTTCCCGTTTCGCCTTTCTGCGTATATCTTGTATATCTTTTATTGATCGACGCGTGAGACGTACAGGTCGCGTACGGAAGATAAATAAGAACCCGCGCGCGCGAGATAACAAACACGACCGCGCGCGATCACGGTGGTCACGGGAATTCTGTCTGGATTGACGCGGGATGTAAATTAAGATACTTTCGGGGATGACGCTGTACGGAAAATTACGAAAAGCGGACAATGCGAGAGATGATCTGGCACGAGATCACGCGCGGATTCTGGATTCCTCCGGAACGATGCGCTTTGAACGTCACACTGTGTGTTCTTGGTACGCGAGAGTATTTGAAAACTTGGAATGCAGAGGCACTGAGGTAACTTAGAATTTTGTTAGAGAAAAGCCAGATTTAAAGGAGTATGTTAGAAGATTTAAAGGAAAATGTTTACTTGTACCATTAAAGCGGATCTTCTGTTTGAATGTACTTGTAATATTTAACGGGACGGCATTGGTGTTAATTAATTTACATCTAATGGAAGTGACGCGTATTCACTGCCACTTAAACATTCTTGGTTATTTCATTCTGTCTTATTCAGTAATATTTACAATTTTGAATATTTATTCTTATGTGTTTGGCATCTTTAAACAACGTGCGCCACTGTTTTTACCCCATTTCCCTCTAGTTGTCTTTCGTTCATTGTACCTTAAAGCGATGTGGTACTATTTAAAAAAATTTT